GCCCCCCCCCCCCCCCCAGCTAACAGGGAAAAAACCCAGTCTTATATTTGAGTAAATATGGTATTATCACTACTAATATCAGTAATAATAATAAAAATAATCCTGAAAAACTTTACTATTTCAAGTAGCCTCATTAACTTCAAAGGACCTATTCATGTGAGGACTATTCACATGCATAACAATTTACAATACTGCACTCCAAGTTTGCAGGGACCAAAACATTTAGAATCTACCTCACATACCAGTTGCTTTTTCTTTTGTTATAATTCTACGAGGGAAGGCATTCATATATACTAGGAACTCTTGATAAAATTTAAAAATATGGTCTAAATTCAGCAATTTGAGATAACCCAGAACAAATCCCCTTCCTCATCAAATAATTCCCCACTCTTGCAGTTAGTTAAAAGCACCTTATTGTCCTCTCATTCACATAAATCTACATCAGCAGAGCTCCCCCGATTTTGCTCCTGATTCATAATAGTGTGAGAGCTGGATGACACCAGTAAATTATAAACTGACTGTGGCCATAGCTAAGATTATAAGTCAGATTCACCACCTGTACTTCCAAAGAGCATCAGGACCTGGCTCCCTCAGATATAAAATCCCCACTCTCAGTAATGTTTCTATAAAACTATTTGCAGGAAACATTTTGGGGGTTTTCGCTTAGTTCAGTGGTTCTCAAACTTTTTGGACTCAAGCCACACCTCACTTGACCCAGGCCATCCCTCCATAATTTTTTAGAATTGAGTGGCATTCAATTTCAAAAACTAATTTATAGGTCACAGTGCTTATTCTGGCAGAGTGGCCAGATAGTGGGGATGGTGGGGATCATCCAGGCAGGGACAAGCCTGAGCCCACACTTATCTGCTTAGTTTATCTGCTTATTGACTAACCTCACCTATCTCCTTATAACCTTCAAAGAATCTGGCAGCATCTCAACGTGCCCCAACACCCTGGTTTAGTTAAACCAGTACAGGAGTAAAGTAAAGTTTAATCAGTATAAGGCAATATTAAACAAAGGTACTAGCATCCAGACATGGGATTTGTACTCAATTAACCAAATTCATTTTAAATCAGTTTGGTTAAACTGATTAAACTTTTCAATATAGGCAGGCCCTCAAGGGGTTACAAAGTGGGTTTAAGAGAGATGGATCAGTCAGCAAACTATCCTATGGGCATGAACAATAGCAAAGTACAGAAGGTTAAAAGGGTGAAAGGACTTTTACTCTTCAGGAAGTCAAATTTAAACCCCTCTTAGGCAGAAAGCTGCCTTGATTTAGCTTTCAGTTACTAGGGGGTAAGATCAGGCAAATGGACAGTTACCATGGAGGAGTTGGTAAACCCTTTTGTTTTTTTAACCAGTTGTTCTTCGTTGGTTTGTCTGTCTATACTCTAGATGATTCACCCATGCTCCTGGTCCTATCTAAGGCCTGGTCCCATTCCATAGGCCTTGTGGCCCCACAAATTAGCCCCACCTTCCCAGAGTGCCACTCGGATCCCCTTCCTCTGCCCAATCTGCTACTCTGTTTTCTGCTCCCTGCCTCATCTGCTGATCTATTTTATGCTTTGTTCCCTATCGGCTGCTGCTGCCTGTCCTCTTCTTGATCTAACATATACAGGCGCTTCCAGTGCAACTTGTAGCACATGTGCTGCAGGTTGGCCACCTCTGTTTTAAAACATGCTTAACTTCATGCACATGTCTAATTCCAGTGATTTCAACTTACATGTTGGAGCACCTAAACATAGAATTTGCATGAATACATCCTAGCTGTGTAAATTCTGTGGCTAAGCACAGAAGTTACACATAAACTGGTTTAAGTGATCAGAAAC